ATACAGTGGCAGAGTGACCATCCTACTCAGGGAAATGGTGGGTGCAGTTCAGATCGTAATTACTTGTTACCTACGTATCATAATTGACGCTACATTTGGCTTGGCCCTGTCGAATACGATGTTGTGTCCTCTGTATTAGGAAACTTGACGGTAAATATGAGGGGGTTGTTGATCCTTACCTGAATGCGCTGCACAATAGTTGGAGCATACAGATGCCGCTCACAATAACTGCGTACGAGTTACGTCGACCTGGGTGGTTCAGTTAAGGGACGAGACGGGGTGGACTTGTCTGAGCTACAACATATACGTCTTGAATTTGGAAAAGTGTTCATGTTGTCCCTTTTTTCAAGCAAGGTAACAGGCGTGCAATGCGCAAAAATCTTGGTGAAGGAATAGAACCGTGGCTGTGCTTGCGGAACACCCTGGACTTGTATTTGACCTCAAATTCCGATGTCTCGCCGTTGGGAGCCAAAGACCATGCCTTTACGCGGAAGTCAGATGGTGTACGCGCATTGCGAGCACACCAATCACTCCGCCGCCTGGAATCGAACTTGTACCATCCGTCCTCTAGACCATCCATTGACGTTGCACCAAGTCTCGAGCTCATGGCTCCGGGTAAGCAGACGTTGCCTTTACGCGGTTTTGCAACCAATCCCATGAGCCGTTACACTTCTGAGTGGATACTGTCTGCCACACGCAGTCTTTCATAACGCATGCATGATTGCCTGCATCCCAAGTATCGACAACCATGCTATGAGTCAAATGTAGTTCGACTGGGAACCATGTCAGTTGCTTGTCAATCTCAGAAAATATTCAGGTATAAAAGATAGCAATATCCAACTCTTCCCTTGATAGCGTCAACAAGGACAGACATCTCTCCTCACAGCTTCCGAACCTCCATCATGCACGTCACCAAATCCCTTACTACCTTGCTCGCTCTGAGCACGGGCGCCCTCTCCTACAAGATCCGCATCTTCTCGAGCCGCGACTGCTCAGCCGGCGGCGGCGCTGCGCAGGAGATCAATGTGGAAGACAACACGTGCAGATGGAACGACAACCTGCATGTCAACGCGAGATCCTTCCGCGTGCTGGCCTACGGAGCCGGGCGCCAGAGGGCCGAGTTCTACGACTCTGGCTGTTTCCCCGGTACCAGCGCCGTCATTCAGACGTTCTGGGCTGATGGTGGCAGCGACCAGTTTAAGAAGGACAGGTGTATCAACCTGTCGCGCGTGGCGCGTGCTTATGGTTCTTGGTCCCGTTGAAGATGCTTGATCAACGGCTCAAGCTTCATATCTTCTGAAAGTCGGAAGCACACGTATGAGCCTCCCCACGTTGAGTGCATCTAGGGATATACCTGACACGTCTCCAGCAAAGATGATGAAGTCAGTCTGCACGGCCGGATTGAGGTATTGACAAATCCAACATCAGACAATATCGATCATGGTATTCGGTGCTGTGAGTTCAGGTTGGTATCAAGGATCTAAACCACAAAGTCAATAGTACAATCACTTCGATCATTTTTTCAGCCCAGTCACTAGAGTGTTTGTAAAGACAAAGAACTGGACTTAAATCACAGGCCAGAACGTCTCTAATGTCTAGCTCCAAAACGACCTCGGCCAATATACGTGGTGTATGCTCGCTGAATCATAAGCAAATTCATGCAAATACCATGCCCTCTAGTCGAATCCACCCCACTCCTCCTCTCCGTCATCCTCAAGCGCGTCGCTACTCCCACTCTCGCTTTCCTCCGCGTAGTCGTGGTCATCGCTCTCGTCCTCTTTCGGGTCATCAAAGGCGACGACCTCTCCTGTGGCCTTCTCCACGGGCATCCCCGTAACATCCCTGATAATGACGCCATCCTCGTCCCTCAGATACGGCCCATCGTCGCTCTCGAGCAACGGCCCAACGCGCTCGAACGCCGCAACGAAGAAACCCATGACGCCCCTGCCATCGCCCTCATGCGCTCGTATACAGGCCTGGGCAACCTTCTCATCGCCGCCAGCAGCCTCGACGTCGCCTCGGACAGGCCACTCCCGCATACCGCTGACCTGCGCCTCCCGCGGCAGGATGCGCCAGCCCGCCTGCTTGGCCACGGCCGACTGCAGCGCCTTGACGACGACGTGCTCGTTCTCCTCGGCGTGCACGGAGCAGGTAGAGTACGTGATGCGCCTGGCGGCGGGGAACTTCATGGCGTGCAGCAGCAGCGTGAGCTGGAACCCGGACAGCGCGTCGAGCCTCTTCTGCAGGTCCTGCTCCGACGCCAGCTCGGTCGTGTTGCCGTCGTCGTCGACGAGCACCGCCTTGGCCTGCGTCTCGTCCGTCTCCTGCCTCTTGCGCTTCTTGCCCTCCGCGGCGGCGGCGGCGGCGGGTGACGGTCTCGCCGACCCCTTCGCGGGGCCGGCGGCGGCGGGGCCCTCGGGCAGGTGAAGCCTGGGCATGCTGTCGCGGCCGACGATGCCGCTGCCGGAGCAGCTGGGGTCGAGCAGCAGGGCGCCGACGTTGGCGTAGAGGGCGGCCTTGGGGTCGACGCCCGTAAAGTCCTGGCCCATGCCTATCCTGGTCATCTTGTGGCTGCCGGCCGTCTTGACCATCTTTTCGAGCGTCAGGGCGCGCTTGTCGTTCCTCTCAAAGGCGAATATGGTCTGCTTGGCGGCGCCTTGCGCGGGTGCGTGGGCCTTGATGATGGCGGCGAGGTGCGTCGTCTTGTTCCCGGGGGCGGCGCACGAGTCGATGACGTCGCCGTCCTCGGCGCGCGGGTCGAGGAGGTAGGCCGGGAAGCACGACGCCTTGTCCTGCAGGATGATCTCGCCGTCGCGGTAGGCTTGCGTCTTGGTGAGATCGAGGCCGGGGGAGACGGCGACGAGGTTGGGCACGTGCTCGTCGAGGTAGAGGGAGCGGCTCGCCATGGTGGAGGCGGCGACGTCGGCGATGGACATGACGCGGGTGAAGTCCTTGAAGGTCGTGGACAGCTGCGTCTCGAGGTCGGTGCGCACGGCGTTGATTCGAACCCAGCGGGGGTGGCGGCCCTCGGGGTCGGCGGCGAGGTTGATGTCGGCGCGTAGGGCCTCGAGAGTCGGCGCCTTGCGACGCAGGCGTGCGCGCGTCATTTCGGACGTCAGGCGGGCCTTGTGGCGATCAATGGCAGAGCGGAGGCCGTGCGTCTGCGGCAGGGCGATGCCAGACTTGGCCAGGAGAAAGTCATGGACAAGCAGCAGAGCTAGGATGGGAGTGAGCTGGGAAATACCATTAGTATGGCTTGCTCTGGTGAGGGGTTTGGGTCGTGTATACCTTGCGCTCATGGCGCAGCAGGTCGGTCTTCTCGATGACCTCCTTGAGGACCTCGCTCCACTTGCACGTCTCTGTTGCGAGGGCATAGACCTGTGCTGGGGGCGACTTGAGGCCCTTCTTGGCGAAGATGCGTGACCTAAGGCTGCCACCACTTGTGGATGGTGCCGAGAGGATCTCGGCCGTCTCGTGGTACAGAGACATGATTTTGGCCTTGGGTGGATAGTTTCAGGGAATGAGGATGTCACCTCATCGTGGGAATAGGCTTGACGTGATCGTGATGCCGGCGGGAAGAATCAGACTCGATCGATGAATGAAGTCGGGTTTCGAGATGACATCTTCAAATGTGGGTCTTGATGTCGGCGAGGTGCAGAAGTTTTCCGACCAGCCGTCCGCAGCTGCCCCACCTGATCTGGTCCCCAGCCCCTTGTGAAACCCCAGCGAACAGCTCCCGATCGAGCGCTGCAAACCACTGACGGTTTAGCGGACCAGCGCTTACGAGCCCGCTGAAGTGCCCTGGACAATCCGCCCGAATGGAGGGGGACAGACATCGTGTATAGCGCAACGGTAGCAACAAACCAAAGACAGATGTGCTGTTGCATTGAATTGGCCGGCCATAGGCTACGTACCCAGGCTAAGGAACCATGTAAGATCACACATATTCCAATGCTGTGCTATTGGTTTACAGCCCGTCACGAGAAAACTAGTGCAAGCACTGACCGGAAGCCCGCCTGTTCATCTCAGTGCGATCGAGTAGTCCTGATCTGCTACAGCTGCCGTGAGGTTGGCGTCCCATGCTTTTTTGTACAAGTACCAAAAGAGAGCGGGAAAAACGGCGGACGAGTAGCTAGAAAGCTTCTTCGATAGACACATTTTCCCCAGGTGATAGGCCTTCCTGGCTTTCAGTGTCATTGTGAATAGATAGGCCCCTGCCCATGATATCAAACATCATGCTCCGCGAAGCACAGTATCAGACTGGCATACTGACCCAGGAACCCAAGCCTGCTGCTGGTGCCCACAGTGGCGTCGTGGTGCGGTGCAACCCAAACCGTGTCGCAGGACGGCCGCCGGCTGGCACGACATTTGCGACAACACGACACAACCTTAAATCAACACCTCGTCACACAAAACACTGCGCATCTGACATGAGCAACTACAAATCAAGAAGAGACGTCATGACTGGAATCAGTTCGATTCATCTATGAGCCCGCAGTGGGGCGAGCAAAGGGTATAGCCATCCAAGGGCCTCTGCCTTCCCTTTTCCCGATCCGTGTACCCAAGAAAAAGTCCCTCCCGAATACTTGAACATCCAACAAATGGCATCAAGTTGTTTACCATCAGACACGACCATAGCAGGCCCGTCAAGGCAAAAGAATTGAACAAGAAAAAAGGAAAAGAAAATGGTAATCCAAAGCAAAATGGTGTGGGTGCCAAAGAACTGGTATGTGGTGCGTTGCTTTGTCTGTCCGTCAAGGAATGGCTTCCCCAAGTTTTATGCTTGCTCGTATGTGCTTTGGTCATGACCGTCGTCACTGCGCAGAGGGGATCGAACCAGGACGACGGGGAGGATCACGTTGATCTCCCCGTCACCATCGTCCGGGGTATGTTTCCCTTCGACTCAAAAATAACTCCTCTGCGCACCCTAGAAATGTCAAAAGAAGAAAACCGTGAGACCGCGCGAGTCAAGGGACTCGCAGAGGTTACGCGAAACGCTTCTAGTGGCGCAGCCTGCGGTGGCGGTAGACATGGTTGTGCACGTGACGGCGCTTCTGCTGGCCATGGGCGGGCTGGGGCGTAGGCTCATAGTTGATGACCTCGGTGGCCGTGGCCACCACGGTGACGGTCTCCCAGACAGTCTTGGTGGTCTTGGAACAAGACGAAGAGGACACTGGCTTCACATCCTCGACGGGAGCTTCGAGCACGGGGGTGGGCGTGGGCTCTGGTGTCTCGACAGGCTTCTGAGCACCGGCCTCGGGAACGGACGAGAATACAGGCGTGGGAGCGGCCTCCTCCTTGACCTCGGCCTCGGGAACGTGCTGATAAGGTAGATGGGTAGCAGCAGCCTCAGTCGTGGGCTCAGTCTTGGCAGTGGTGGCAGCGGCGGTGGTAGGCTTGGCACCAGAGTCGGGCTTGGGGGCGTCGTAGCCCGTGCCGTCACCGTTCTTGGTTCCGTAGCTCCAGCCCTCAAGGGGACGATCACCAGGAAGAACACTGAGGACGCCAGTGACAATCTCATCGACGGTGGCGACACCCTTGCAGCCATTGTTGTCGTTAACCTGGACGCCGGGGCAAGAGTGAAGACCTTCGTGGCCGGCATTGCAGTTGTCAATGACGTTTTGGAGGACATCCTCGTCCCAGGCGGCGAGGAAGTCGGCGTGGGAGCTGAAGCCAGTCACATCACCGTTGGAGAGAACAAAGGGTTGCGAGCCCTGGCCTCCGGTCCAGCGGTCGGCGAACTTGGGAGTATCCCAGTAGATTTCGTAGAACATGTGAGGAACGTGAATCCAACCCTCAGGGCAGTTCTTCTTGCCGTTCACATCGGTGGGATAGGCCATGTTGGTCTTGTAAGAGGTGAGGCCCTCCTCGGGGTTGTAGCAAGAGGGCATGTGGATGTCGGCGCGAAGAGGAGAATACCGGCCATCACAGTTGACGTCAGGGAAACCAGTTCCCGTGCCGTGGTCAACGGGATTCCTCTGGCCGGCGGTCGAGCCATCCGAGTTGACTGGCCACGATGGAGGGCTCTCCTGGTCGCCGGCACGGGGGCAAGTCCACATGGCAGCCTGAATAGGACCATTGCTGGGATCAAGGTTGAGCTTGCCATTCGTCTGAGGAGCGACACGGGTGCTGGCGTCGCCGCCAACAATTTGAAGGCCCTGAGGGAAGGCCTTGATGTCATCATCGGTCTTTTCGAAGCTGGAGCCAGTCAGTGCTGTTCACAGCGAAATACTGTACTAGATCCACAGAAAAGCTTACAAGTAGTAAACGTTGACATAGTTGATATCAACGGGTTCGAAAGTATCTTTGCCTTCGTCGTGGAAGTAGAGCCAGGGGAACCAGTACGCGCTCTTGTCGTCGAGAGCCTTGGCGCTGGTGCACTCGGACTTGGCCAGAGACTCGCCAGTCGAGTCCTTGTCAAAGTTGTTGCCGCCGACTGCGCCGTGGACGTGCTGGGCTAGAGCGTTAGGAGAGACGATGGGATCGATACGGCCTTGCAGGTTTTCCTTTCCGTTGAACCGAAGGACTGCAAAGGCACCTGGGTGAGAGGCGGCGGCTGTGCAGACGACGGCCGCGAGAGCAGCGGCTGAGTACTTCATGGTAGTGAAGGGTTGTGTTGTTCGTAGGCTTGAACCAGGTGATAAGCAAAGGTTTGAGGTAAATGTTTTTGTTGTAGCTGAGCTGGCTGCTGTTGAGTGCTGATACCGGATGAGCACCTCAAATGAATGGAAAACCGGCCACTTCTGTAGACTTGAGGTCTGAGATGACGACCTGAGGGTAAATGAAGGTTGAAGTAGCAAACGAGTCACGAAGGAGGGACTTGTCTGGTAGATGTTGTTCGAAGGAATGAATGTGAGGTAGTGCTCAGCAGGCTCAGCAAGCTTCGAGGGGCTGGAAGGAGTGAAAAGGTGTCTGTGAAGAAAGAACAGGCGGCAAAGATGCCAAAAAAAAGCAAGAGACAAGAGAAGGTTGCAAGGTGTGAGGTCAGGGCAAGGGGGGGCTGTAGGATCGTCGAAGGGGCGGGGGGCTGTGAAATATATGGCGTGGAGTCGCTGGATGGGGGCGTGGGCCACCGTCTGGTATGGCAGACCCCACGGCCAAGACCAGGGGGGTCAAGGGCCCAAAGGCTGGCCTTTCGCGCCTGTCCGTGACCTCATCCACCACCGGGAGGCTTGAGAGTGTCTCGACAGCAGGGGTTGCATGGGCCCTGTCCAAACTGACGGACGCCCGAGGGGGAAACGGTAGGCCACCGTCCCGTGCGTCGAAAGCCAGGGAGAACCCCGAAGCCGCCCAACGAAGACGAAGATGTCTGACGACGTCAGAACAACATGGTGACATCGGGGAGAATGAGCATCCTCGCCATCCTTGGCCTTCTTTATTGAGACCGATCCCGCTTGGAATCGACAATAGCGAGAGCTCGATTCTTCGCCTGTTGTTCCTGTGAAGATTGTCCTGGCCGTTGTTTGTTCAAGGGACAAAGCAATGCATCCCTCCAGGGACAAGCCAGTGGTAGAACTAACAGCGCCGACGATGAGGGAACCATTGTCATCAAGGGGATCAAGAAACAGAGCAGTTGGTACACTGCAGGGCATCAGCAGCCGTCAACGGAACGGGTACATAGTACACCACTTTGGCTGTGACAAGTGGCTTTCCTTAGGGCCTGGCGAAAGGGTGTGCAGCTACACGTCTCCTCAGCGCTGTACCTGCATCCTTCAGTGAATCATGCTGCGGTCGTGATTGGGTCCTGTCAAGTTTTTCTGCGTGTCCAACCGTTGAAATGCTGTGCGTGGCACCACCCAACCAACGGCACGGGGAGACGCCAGGCCACTTGGCTCAAGGCACGGCCTTGCAACCATTTTTTTTTTCTGCTTTTCTCTTTCTTTTTGTTGATGCCCTGAGTCTTCAAGCTTCAGAGATGCGAGTCGGGTCAGTCCGCCGGGGCCTGTGATGAGAGTTAAAGCACCGAAATTGAAGGGACAGGCGAGACAGCCATGGCCAACCTGGCAAAGCCCCTGCCATCATCGCACCAGGGCTGGCGCAAGCTCAGGCAAATTGCCCCAAATGTCCGTCCAGGCAACCAACCGAGCCAACCGGCGACAGCCCCGGGGCCTGGTCTGCGCTGGGAAACGGACCAGGTTGTTGGGGCGTGGCCAAACGTCCGATGATCGTGAGATTTGAGGCTCCGCGAATGGTCGATCAATCGAGGTCTGGAGTGGTAGGATCAGCCACGACACCGTACTCTGTTGTCTCGTCACAAACGGCATCTTTGGTCAAATCGACAAGCGAACAAACACAGGGTCGGGATGAATGGGACAATCGGGTCTCTGGAATGCTGTCAGGTGTTGCAGAAGAAAAGAGAGGTCTCTGGTACGTGCTGCGCGTTGCCCACGCCCGTGCCTGGCAGCAGCGCCCGAGACCAGTGACGTGGAAAGAGTTGGCGGGCGGCTCTTCACTTGCGCCTTCCAACGGGATGCTAGAAGCCCCCACTTGGGCTCAGGGGGCCAAGGGGGCGGTTAGGCTTGGCGGGTCCTGGAATGGGGATCGCCCCCCCAAAGCACGCCGTCAGCCCCCAGTTCCTGGATTTGCCTGGGCCTTGGAACTAGAGAGCCGTCGTGCTCACCATCGGCTGGGAGGGACAGGTCGACGAAATACAGCTGGCCATTTGCTTCGACAAGTGAGAGGCAGGTCGCACGTGCTGCTGGGCGCCGCCGTGTTAAAGCATGTGGAAAGCCATGCCACGGAATGGGTGCTCTTCCTCTTTCCACAGAACAGCGCCACAGCTCGGAGAAACCGTTTCAAACGGATGGGACATCCCAAGACAAAAGACAATAAGACGGTAGGCAGTGCAGTCGAACCAGAGAGCGACGCGCCGTCTGTTCGTCCCATTCCTCTCCCTTCCCGGCTGACAACGTTTCGCCTGATTTTCGTGGCAGTTGCCGCTGACGGACAAGGACGTTCGTCTGAAGCAGGGATATCCTGACACTGCCAGAAAACCATATCGAGATGCAGGAAACAAAATCACGCGCGCCAGTTCGATTACCTACTCCGTCCCGCGCTGCCATCCCGCCTCCAGATTTTTGGTCTCCTCCACTGCCAACGCATTGCTACCTACATGAGTCGGGGCAACATTGACAGTTGGCAGTCAAACGATAGGAGCAGACGGAAGCCACACCTGAATTCACATGCGACTTGAACGGCACTCGGCGTAAGGGTCACTCGTCAACAAAAAAAAAATGGCAAAGACGGAAAGGACGAGGCAAAGCAAGGTCTGAACAGGGCAAGAGCAATTCATTCACCCTTTGTCAGTTACATTCGGTCTGCAGTTCTTGGCAAGTCGGCAGGACCAAAGGGAAGCCAACAACGAAGGCAGGGGCAGAATCGTGAAACGCGCTAGAGATGTGTACCTTGCATCGCCCCTGCAGCAGACATCCCAGACCTCCTCCCCTTTAAATCAATTTAGCTCCAGCTCATCGGCGTACCTCATGACCCTATTGGCTGCTTCTTCCACCACAGCTCGGAAGGACTGCCTGCTGGGCCCCGGATCGCCAGAGATGGCAGTGGCAAGGCGGCACCTGGGAGAGGGCAAGGGCAACAGGGTGACTGGACCCGGTAGGAAGGAGGGAGAGAGGGTTGGAAGGTCCAAGAGCTCGACCAGACGAAACCTGACATCGATTACCTCCCTGACCTTCACACCCTCTCAACTAGGAAGCAAGTAAGCAATCAAGCAATCAAGGGTCTTTCATCGACTGACTTGGTCCCCTCCATAAGATGAGAGGACTGTTGGCGCCGGTCCCGTTGAGACGACGGTCGCGCGCCAGCGAACGCACACGTTGACGGGAGCGCCAACCAAGCGCCTGCTCATCGACGGGACATGAGGAGACCAGACGAGCCCGACAGCGACACCAGGCAGACCACGACACACAATGGCCTTGTTCGAGTCAACCTCTCCACCTGCCATCTGGCGCTGGACCCAAATGCCACGCACACTGGCCGCCGCCGTTCCAGACCGTGGCAATGGCATCGGCAATGCCATTAGCATTTGCCAACAGCCCTCACTCAGCCACGCGCTGGTCGTCGCACAATCCACCGCCAAGAATGCCCCGTCATTCCAACGCGCGACCGGCTAAGTTTTCTCATCCGACCTTCTGTCATCCCCGACCTCGATCCATCTCGTGTGCTACTGGACCCTGGACGTCAAGTGTGTGCGCGCCAATTTTTCCAAAGGGACTTTCCGCCCAGGCCACCGTTTCGTTTCAGTGGTCGGCGTGGCTACCTTCGCCCTGACGCACCAGAGCCTACCGCCCCCCTTCTCATTTCCCGAATCCTCGGGCGGCGGTTCCTCACCCACACAGAGCACCGGGCTGCTCATTTCGTTTCTCTCCGTTAATCGACAGTGCATTGCATGATTAGCCCGCCCGGGATTTGCAGTGCCGGCCATGCCTAAATTTTAGGCTCGTGTTGAAGTGCGGCCTTCTTTGACAGGAGGGGTACCACATGAAGAGACCTCATCTAACTTCGAGACAAACAGCAAAGAGACAAACCACAAAGAGACAAAGTCGAGGACCAAAGACGATAGATCGCAACAGATTGAGTCACTGAAGCACCAGCCCGACACCAGATGATGATCCCTCTCCCGGTCGACGTGGACCCTTCTTCTCGCGCGCGCCAAGTACCGTCGAGTGACGCCCAACATGCGCGCTTCGGGGCTTACGTCGTGAAACACAACGACCGTATTCTCCGATGCAGCGCGCCGGCGATGCGGCCGCATTTTTGGGTCGCGGATAGCCGCTGAGGCAGCGACCGACATGGAAGTCCGTCACCGCTCATCTAGAGTCGGGTCCCCAGGCCACCGGCCGTTGTTTCTTCTTCGGATGTTTTTGTCGTGGCATGATTGATCGGGTGTGACTGCGCTGTCAGTGCAGCATGGCTGCAGATGTCGGCCTACAAATGCAGTGCAGGGAGGAACATGTGACGAGGCCATGGAGCTGGCAGAGGCTTGGCTGCTGAAGTCCAGCTGATACTCGGTTTGTTGAGGTTTCTGGTGGTTGACATGTCATGACTTGATTTGCTTACAGTCGTGACAGAACCAAAACGCCTTGAACAGGCATGTCCAGCTGGTTTCAGTTGATCTTCGGGCTTGCGGCTAGCCCAAAGGAACATATCTGAACGTGAATACCACTAGATCATATCGCATTTCCTGTTGCTTGACTGGAGGCTCGCTCGGTTTAGACAAGTCTGGAGCAATACCCATGGCTATGGTGCTAAAAAGAAACCAGTGGTGCTTACGCCGTTCTGTCACCTTTCAGACAGCATGTGGAAGACTGTCAACCCAACGCAACTCTCACAAGAATCTACTCAACCAACAATTGCAGGTGTTGGATCATACCATGGTTCACCTCGTCACCACCAGGCAGCTGACTCACCACCACTGTTGGCTTCTCCAAGGTGAGCTCAACAAACCGCTCGCCTTCGGTTCCGTTCCTCCACGACACCCTAGCCACGTTCTCGCCGCCAATGGCCACGGCAGCGTCGATCCTCTCACTCAGCCGTACCCGCGGCTTGAAGAGTACCTTCGCGCAGCCCGGCGCAAGCGGTCGGACACCCGCCACCTCGGTGCAGAACTCGTACAGCGGGACACTGCCCCAGGCATGACAATCAGACCGCTGCCGCACGTCGTCCTCTTCCCAGGTCGTCAGGTTCGCGGCGAGCATCTTCCGCCACGGCGCCCACACGCGCCCGTAGTACGTCTCATACGCTTCGTCGCCCGCCAGTGAAAAGGCCCGCAGGGCGTAGAACTGCATCATGTAGGAACACTTGGAGAACCTTGTGTCCGCAAAAGATTCTTGCAGAATTCGAGCGTTGTCATGCTCGTCCGCAGCCCCCGACAGTACGGCGAAGACTTGGCAGTGTTGCGAGTATGCCAGCTCGTCGGCGACGTCGGCGGTCGAGTCAGTGAAAAAGCGGCCGTCGTAGCAGTGCTTTCGGACTGCCTTTGTGAGGCTCTCGGCCCGGGCCTCGTACTCTGTTGCGTTGCCCGGCCTGCCAACGTCACGGAGGAGGCTCGCTGCGTGTCGTAGCACGAGGGCATAGAGCATGCTGAAGTAGGTGTGACGGTTCGAGGTGCGGCCGGACGTCGGCACGCCTTTGTCTGGGTGGTCGTCGGTGGCGCCCCAAGTGGTTACCCAGTCGACATACTGCCAGACGTCTTCCGGGAGGCCGCTGACGAGACCTAATTCGTCGACATGGCGGTCGAAGAAGTCGAGGACGCCGTCAATGCGCGGTATGAAACTGCGCGCGTAGGCTGCGTCGCCAAAGTAGAGATGGTGATCGCAGACTTGGAGGATCCATAGTAGAGGGAATGCCGCGATGATTTGCGGTACGTGGGACGGGAAACGAGATTGCGTCAGGCCTTCTGCTGTTACGGACGAGGCAAATGTTGTGATGGCCTGCCGCATGAGTCTGTCGTCGCCGGAGATCAAATAGTGGAACACGCCGACTGCGCGTGTGTCTCCCGAATATCTGGAATCATATCAGTCGAACTTTCCTTACCGCTCAAGTACTGATCACATTGGCTCACTGAAGTTGTTCGTAGAATGGGCAGTCCGAGTATCCGTCGAACATGCAGTTGCGCATGGTTCGTATAGAGACATCCCACATCTGCGCGCCTTGCGGGTCGCTGTGATCGGACCAGCTGCCCTTGACTTCCAATGGGTAATGCGTCTGCGTCGCGTCAAAGGACACAAACTCGACCGCTTCGGGTCCGACGTCCACCTCGAGACGGAAAACGCGGAACGTACGGAACCAAAACGGTTCGTAGGCAACCTGGCTGCCTGCCGAAATGTCCAACACGGCCTCATCGTATGGGCCGATGATTCGGCCAGCCGTTGCATCCAAGCGATCGGCCTTGGTGCGGAAGAATGGGTATGCACGAGGCTCGAGCTCGTATCCTTCCGAGTATGTGACTTTCAGCTTGACTTGAGACCGTGATGCCGCTCTGAACGTCCAGCGTACGAAGGCGGTTGAGTGGACATTGGCCTGCAGCTCAAGCACATGTCGACTTGCCCCCGGCAGAGTCAGTGGATTCGCCCCTGAAAGAGAGCGAGCCCACTCGTCGGCAGAAAGAGTGCTCTCGCAGAAACGAACTGTATTGACCTTAATAGCCTCTTGTGTCGGCATGGGTATCGATCGTGCACGCAGGCGCCAGGGGGCCAGCTCGCCGTTCAGCGTCTTGATGTTGTACGCCTTTGGTGTCGCAAGTGGTCCAAGGTCTTGTGAAGAAGTTCGTTCGTAGATCTGCAAGCATGGCGATCAGCATATTATATGGCTGGTCAATACACCTGCATGAGACTCTTACATGTAAGAAGTTATCATCGATAAGGCCCATTGGAAAGAGAATGCTCTCATCAGTTTGTACCTCCCAGCCCTGGGCCGAGTCGAGCTCGATGGAGTGGTCGCCGGCTTGCACTGATCCCACGACCGTCAAGCCAGGCATCGCAGTTCTTTCAAACGGCATGGCGCCCCGTGACGAGGAGAAACAGCGGAGGACCTCAATCTTGATTTCATTCTCTCCGGCTTGCGCAAACGGCGCAATGTCAATCGTGTCGTAGTACCATATCAACGGGCTCCCTCTCGCGGGCCCTACAGCGACTCGCGTTCCATTTACCGTGATTTTGTAGCGCGTGTCTGCCGAAAGCTGCAGCAAAGATCTGCTGGGCTTGGAGTCCGCGACGAAACGGCGGGTGAAGACTGCTATCCTGCCGACCGTGTTGCTTGTGGAAGAGTCGGCCCAGTCGGGCGACCAGACCCAGTTCGCCTGGAGCTTGTTGACGATCTACAGTTTTTCCGTGGTAAGCCACACTTTGATCAAGTCAAGGAAGCAGTCCGAACTCACAGCCTGTTCTTCCTTCGTTGTCATGGCTGCGTTGGTGGCCAAAGGGAATATGGGGGGTCGCCATCCCGCCTTCGCCGAGCAGACCTGCTACGGCATTTGAACCAAGCAGCCGCGGTGCCAATTGGAGCTCCTGCGACGCCAATAGCTTGCTTCCTCGGGTGAATACCAACCGGCAAGTCACCCCATGATCAAGTGCCTTTGTTTTGTGAGCCTCCTGACGTTGCACGGCGGTGCCGTGTTTCCCGGTGGGGGTACGCGGGGGGCGGACGCACCAGAGTGCCGGAGTGCCGGTGAATGCGGGGAAGGGTCCTCGTCCGGGCATTTTTCAAGCCATGTTCTTCTTATATGTCGGCAATATGATCAGGAAGACGGATTCAACGGATACTGCGGAAAAGACGGAGACCTTTGGGAAGTTGACTTGCTTGTAGCTTTAGAATGACGTTCTTGGCCGAAAGGTACATTCCAGGTCTGTCCTGATGAACCAAACAACAGAAGCACATTGGAAGTTGCCTGATGGCAGTATTAGGTATTGAGAAGACCAAAGTCTACCTTGAGAGTCGCGAATAACGCAGCTAATAGGATTTGAGTTCCGATTCATTTGGCAATTGGCAAATCAGGATGTCCATCCGAAGGACGTGTTGAAAGAACAACAAAAAAGAACGTTTGCATCCACATTTTCTTCACGACAAGCGTGCAAAGTCATTCGTGCTTTGAACCATGATGCTCATGTATGCGTAAAGTCTACTACCAGTATTACATGTACACATATGCTGTTCATTCGGAGATACACGTGTACCATTGTTCGATCAAGTACGATGTATTGAATCATTAGTCATAAATCTCATCATTAAACCTATGACCATCGATCCTGACTAGACGCAAGCCGACCCAGGTACACGGTCCTACAGCCCGCATCCTGGGACCACGTGGCACTTGATCCAAAGTACGTTGACACCTCAGAGGTACACCAGCAAAGCCTCAGAAGCGCCGACGGTAAAAGTAGCCTTACCACCGGATACAGTCGCACTCTCCGAGACTTCGGTACCCTTCACATTGCAGGATCCACCCGTCCAAGTCTGTCCCGCCAGTGTGGGAGACTGACCCCTATCAACCCTGGAAGTGGAGAACGCAGCAGTCAGGCGCTTAGCAGTGACTTTGGACGAACTCAGCCCTGTCAGCGTGTACGTCTGCGTTGTCCGGGTCCCGCTGGTGAAGTAGTCAGAGTTGTAAAGGAGCACCCTGACAGGGGCGTTGTTCTTATAAATGGCATAGGCACCGTAACGGGTGCTGCCATCGTCGAGAGGGGCAATTCTGTCGGCACCTGCCAGAGCCTTGGTGGCCATCATGGCACCGTAGTATGGAGCACCAACGGTGAAGTTACCCCACCAGCAATACTGGCCTTCTTTGCATCAGCCTCGTCGTCCTGCATTCGTTTTAATAACCAGACTTACAGTTTCCAATGGTGCCGTGATGGAAATAGAGAGCCTGGGGATCGAATTGATCAGCGAAATCACAGACTAGTAAAATGTCGGTTGAAACTGACATTTGTTCCCAGAATGGCCGCTTGAATCGCGTAGTCCATCACCCATAGACCTGCACCATATGTCGGGCTGATGCCGCCACCACCTTGGGTCGCTGGGAAAACACGAATCAGTATCGAACAGAACCATCGCCGCTCGAGCAAATTGCCTCACCAGAATTGGTCTCTCCAAAGATATGGGGCTTGCCCTTGGCTTGAGCAGCGGAGATTTCGGCAGCAAACGGCTGGATCTGGGTCTTGATCGCGCTGTGGTCCATCAACTTAGAAAGGTCGGCAGTGCTCTGGGACTGCGGGTAATTGTGGGAACAGTAGTCTTTGACGAAGGAGTTTGCGCTCCCTTCCTGTCCAGTGAGGCCCTTGATGCTCATCGGCGAAGTTCCAAAGTATACACCAGCTGAGAACTGGTCTGAACCGCCGAGAGCACCGCCCACCGCCTTCTGCCAACTGAGTTGAGAAGCGTAATCGGCAGCCGCGTTCCAAGTCTTTCCTCCGGCGATGGGGTCACTGCTGGTAAAGACTGGTGAAAAAAACCAGTCAGCAAGACGGAAACAGAGGCGTCGGTCAAACACTTACAGTTGGGCTCGTTGCCAAGCTCAATGGAGTACAGATTCCTCATTGCTGCCTTCGCAGCTTTAGCTGCCGCAATGGTGTTGGCTTGGTCGTTCAGTCGACGGTTCAGGCCAATGACGACCTTGCCACCATAATCGGCTGCTAGCGAAAAGAACGAGGGTCCATAGGTCAGAGACGCTGGCGCAGCTCCGGCGCTGGCAACCGTGTACGTCACCGCCGCCCTGGATGAGGCATCATAAGTAGCGCGATCCCTATGGCTAAGTCAGCTTTTGGAACCCCTAGACTATATCAAAGACTGCTTACTGGGTGGTTCCGCCGATTCGGATGGGTGGCCAAGTGCCACTCACATCCTTGAGGTTCTGGAGACATTTGATTGTCGAGGCGACATCGTCGAAATAACCGGGCCAAGCGAAGAACTCAAATCTTGAAAGCAAGTAAGTATAGAGCACTCTTGGATGACATTCCAACAGTCGAGGCGACCCACGAGACTCCCACAGGGGCCGCAGCTAGCTGGGGGCTTGCATTCGACGGGACAGTTGATGGCACGGCAAACGTGAGAGCAGACGCGCAACCTAGCTGCCCCAGAACAAGAAGTTTGGACAGGACAGGAGCCATGGCGACAGTTTTGATTCTAGTAATTGTGATGAAGACTGGAGAGGGTGATCGTTAGAGGTCGATCTAGTGATGATGCAGGACGGACCTAGCTACACGGGCTCATGACTCTCATTATATGAGACCAAAGCCCACGCACTTGCCGATCCATGCAGCCAAATAATTGAGTTCACATGGGTGGGCGTGAAGCTTCGACGAAAGGCAATATGGAACAGCCAACTACCACAGCTACCCAATCGTCACCAGCTTGATGATCCGCGCAACGAGCTTCCCCATGGGGTTCAGGCTCCCCGGATCCCCAGACTCGCGTCGGGACATAGTTGCAAAGAAACACGACAGTGATCGCGTGAAAGAGTACCGAGCTCCAAATGAGAAATATGCCACCGCGGCACGTTTTCAGAACGAAGGCACGCGACGCGTGGAAATCGGGCCCTTGATTGAGCTCACATTCGGACAGGTGTCAACGGATAAAGATCACGAGGTAGGATTTTCCTACGGATCTTTACGGATTTGCCAAAATAGCTTTTGTCCTCAGGCCAGATTCTGTATCGAACCTCGCATGTTCAGGGGCCGAATGCCGGCACTGACGGCAGTGACGGCTGAGTCGGCACGAAGCGAGCCAAACAGGGTGCAGGCATCGCGAGAAAAGTTCCTGCACGTAATAATGCCACCAGACAAGCTTTGTTTGGTTAGCGCTAGATGGAAAGGCTAGCTATTGACTGTTTACTGTCAAAGGGTGGGGGAGCAGGCACATTGCACCACCCCCAACCCCATGGGGTTCCCCTGGGATCATTGAGAACCGGTTCCATGTCTTGACATGCTGCAGATCTTGGCGGTTGGTATAAGGATGACTCGGCCCATGAGCTTCAAAAGGGATCGACAGAGCGCATCATCTTCTCTGTTGTCAGTGCCAGCTTGGCACAGAGCTGCCTGCTTCGACTTTTACTCTCATTAAGATTTGTCTCGTATCACAAACACAAAGTCACAATGAACAAACAAACCCCTGAAGTCGACATGATGGAGGGCCGTGTTCATGGGGACGAAAAGTCTCAAGGGCCTTTCCACGAGGCCCTCGGTCCCATGCGTGCAAAGAGTGATGATCTCAGCGTGTGGGCCACTATGCGACTGTACAAGGTAGCTGGTATCATCGCCATGGCCGGTGCTTTCAGTGCATCACTCGACGGATATCGTACGTATCATAACCTCCAGCAATGCGCAAGAAATATCGACTAACGACAAGTACTAGAAATCAACTTGAATGGTGGCATTGTCTCGAACAAAGGTTTCATCAAGCAAATGGCAGGTGGCGGCAAAAAGATCATTGCAGGTAGATACATTTCGGCGTGGGGAGGAATCCAATCAGCAGGGCAAACTATCGGTCAGCTTGTAAGCAACAAGCACACGCAAGACTCCTGGGCTTCAGTCTAACATATCATGCAGCTCATCCAGTACGTCACCGAGGCATACGGTCGTAAGGTTTCGCTTTTGATCATCCTGGCCATGTTCATCACGGTAAGAAGTCTCCGCCAAGCGGTTCTCTTCTGACTTCAAGGCATGAGAGAGAGAGCTATGCTAACAATAGTTGGCTACAGAGCGTGATGACCGAGTCTTTCGCAAACAACTGGCAGCATTGGCTTGTAGCTAAGCTCCTGTCAGGCATGGGAGTTGGCATGCTGCAGTGTACCATGCCACTTTACCTTGCCGAAGTTGCTCCAACCCAGCTTCGGGGTGTTTTCATCAACGCTTATACTTTGTGAGTAGAGTCCCCTAGGGGTTTGAATGCTCATGTCCAACTTCATGAATTAAACTGACCGTGATTCTCAAGTTGGTTCGTTCTCGGACAGTTGTTTGCTTCGGTCGCTCTGTACGAGCTTAAGGCCGCCGATCCCACCGACTACAAAACACCCATCTACACGCAGGTACGTAAGGAAACATAGAGATTAATTCGTGGAACCAACCAACTGCTGACATTTTCCAGTGGGCCATGGTGGGACTTGCTGGAATCATCTTCGTTCTCCTGCCAGAGTCGCCTTGGTGGCTCGTCAGCAAGGGCAGGTTCGAGAAGGCCTCCAAGTCTCTTCGGATCTTGAACCGCGGTGTCGAAGCTTTCAATGTTCAAGAACATATTGTCAGTGATAACTCTAGATTAGTTGATACGCGGACCTGCTGCTAATATTGGAACAACAGAACGTCATGGACGCTACCATCCAGATGGAGAACGATTTGGCGGCGAAGAATAAAGAAGAGGACATGTGGGAGGTCTTCCGCGGTCGCAATTTGATTCGCTTCATCATCTGTTCTTGGCCCAAGGTGACGCAACAATTTGTTGGCCTGGCTGTTTTCAACACCTACGCAACCTACTTCTGTAAGTACCTTCGTTTCCTGAATAGATACCTTGGGTACGCTGAGGGTGTGAAGCTAACAGCGTAGTCCAATATGCCGGCAACAAAAATCCCTTCCTCGTGACGGTCATCTTATCCAGTGTCCAGCTGCTCTCTATGATCCTCACATCCACCCTCACTGATCAGCTCGGTCGACGCCCTCTCACCGTCTACCCCTATGCGGTCACGGTTCTTTCAGTCTTGTCCCTAGGCATCATTGGTTGCTTTGATTACACTGACAAGACCTTGAGTTCGCTTCTGGTGAGTCCGACTAGTTCCAGGATGCCATGACGCTCCCCACGAGGCTGACATACGGTGTAGATCTTCTTCGCCTGTTTGGCTACCTTCTCCACCACTGGTGCTTCGTCCATTGGTTATGCGTACGCCGCCGAAATGCCTCAGCAGCGTCTCCGAGCCCGAACCTCCGCATGGGCCCTTGCAGCTTCCAATGCCATCTCGGTCATGTTCAGCTTCACTACTCCAATAATGATCAATGGAGACGATACCCACTGGGGCGTCAAAACCGCCTTCTTGTAAGGTGTCACGCTTCCGAAGTACCCGCCCTGTCCACTAACATTGGCCCTCAGCTTCGCCGGCACCGGTACTGTCGCCGTGGCCATTGCCTGGCTTATTCTTCCCGAGGTCGCACGTCGCACACCTGCCGAAATTGACGAACTGTGAGCTTCTTGTGACGTCCTAAAATGATCGTACGGTACGTGGCTGACATGATCGGAACACAGCTTTGAGAAACGCGTCCCGCTTCGGAAGTTCAAGGGTTACGTCACTGAAGTCGAGATGCACGCCACCGAGGTCCAGCAGTCGACAAAGATCAGCGACATGAATATCTGAGCTCCTCGTCGAGAACTTTACAACCTAGCGTCCTCCACGGCCGCATGTTGTTGTGCCGGCCACCTTGAAGCGTGGACCACACCGAACGGGGATTGCACAAACATCGAGACTCGTGTGACTTTCGCTGCCTCCGCAATGAAGCTGCGTTTGAGAAATCAACAGCATGACAATAACCAAAACCTGCTACTTATAAAGAAGGCGGCTCTGATGTGCAGCTAATGGATCAGCCGATTCCCAAGTGTGCCTGTAGACAATGGGCGAGGCAATTTCTCACTTCCACCGGTGAGCACCATAACAAGAGCCCTGAAGCCTCACTCACGTTGTCTACCGCAAGGTACCGGAGAGCACAAAGGTGGATACCTACTTCCCAAACTGGTAGTTGCAAGTCTTGGCAGCGGAGCGGACTCGTGCGTGGTGGAACGAGCTAAAGTAGGAGGTCCCTGAGGTCCATTTCAGCTGACGAATGTGTTGTCTCCCACTCTTTTCCTCATTTTTAGTCAATCGATATTCCATGCCAGCGACGAAGAAGCCTCTCGGAGAATCTCACGACTTCGAATGCCAAGCTCTCGAAAATGCAGTCACACATACAGTTTGTCCCCGTTTCTGGGCCTACGAGACCCATGCCGTCCGAGTCACGGAAGTTATGCCACTCACACGCCACTCGTCAAGCGCATGCCAAGAAACGGCGGTTGAGGGTGCATCAGCATCAGAAGGAAGTGACACTGGCTCAGAAGGAGGACCAGCAGACGTTCACGATAGCTCTCATCCCTCTGAACAGCGCGCCAAATTACCACAAGGGTGGCCTCTTCACATCTTTAGCGAGCTCCTTGGCGCCGGCGGAGTATGGTCTGCTGCGTTACTGTACGAGCTGAACCCCCTCGATGGGAAATCCACACAGCTGACCAGCCATGCTGACCTTTTTCTCGGACAGACTTCAGTGTTTTGGTGCCTGACATGGCTGTCAACTGTGGTCTTTTCAATTTCGAGGGAGATCACGGCCTCCGCATCCTCCGAGATTGGGTTGGGCTTGCCGTCGCGGACAAGAACTTCCTAGACACGGCTAGCCTACTCTGTGCGTGCCAAAACATGCTACGTGGCAAACCAGAAGACAACTCGCTGAAGAAATGGCTCTTCAGTATAAACAGAAGGGTCTCGAAACTTTGCGACATGCGCTCAATGGGCCCATTCGCAGGGTGACAGTCGCCACAGGTCTTGCACTGGCCTTGGATGAAGTGAGCGGCGTCAAAAGATTGCACATGTTCTAGTAGCTAATTGATGATCTAGATGAGCTTTGGAGACACAAAGACGGCCATACAACACTGTCAGGGCGTGGTCTCCATGGTTGAATGCAGTGGTGGCCCAACTTCTCTCGGCCTTTCGGAAATGTTGGAACGGTTGTACTGGAAACGTGCCTTTTCACTCGTGAATATTTTGCGGCATGAGCAAGTGGATAGAATCGCCACCAAAGAGATTTAGTGCGCCAACACACCGACCGGAGAATTGCGTCGGAGAATCACGTCCATCGGTTTTTGTGGCGGACTTTACTTTGGCGCAACATCATGAGAGGTGATCCGGAAGCCGTGGGTAGGTCACGCCAAGCTTTGGTGTTTCCTAAATGGGCAATATCATTAACCTCCTACACCTTTAGTCCCATCTCTCCAGCATGATCCGAAGGAAGTCAACGACGCCATTCCGTTCCACCATCTCTCGCGGCTTTCAATGAAAGATCTGTCACACTTGCTTTCGACGAGATATAAAACCCATGATACCAACTCCATCATGTCGTCTTTCGAAAGCCATCAAAGCTACATACCAAAGCATCATCATCACTGTTCTGCTGACCTTCACTTTCTTCCGTTTCTCCCAAGATCGCCATCGCCATGTCTCCACCCACAACAACTATCCCGAATGGCGCATGGGTGCTCGTGACCGGAGCCACAGGTTTCGTCGCGGGTCATGTCGTCAACCAATTTCTGCAACGCGGTTACAGAGTCCGGGCCACTGTTCGCGACATAAACCAGGCATCTTGGCTTGTCCAAGATACCTTCAAGTCGTATGCAGAGAGCGGCAGCTTCGAACTCGTCGCCGTCGCCGACCTCGCAGCCGATGGCGCCTTTGACGAGGCCGTCAAGGGTGTTTAGGCCATTGTCCACGTTGCCAGTCCCCTCGACTTCAACCCAGACCCCAACGCCGTCATTCCTCAGAGCGTTGCTGGCGCAACATCGATCCTCACCGCCGCCACCAAGGAGCCCTTGGTCAAGGAAGTTGTCTATACCAGCTCCATCGTGGCTGCCGTCGTTCCTCTGCGTGGGCGGGAATCTTTCGTCGACAGAAACACGTGGAACGAGGCCGCCTTGGAAGCCGCCTGGGCTCCCCCTCCCTACGAGCCGTCCCGCGCCATGATCACGTACGCGGCCAGCAAGACTGCTGCGGAAAAGGCAGTCTGGGCGTTTGTTCAAGAGAAGAAGCCGTCTTTGACAGTCAACGTCGTCAGCCCCGCGGGTGTTATTGGCGCGCCTTTCCACGTGAAGCACGTTGAGAAGCCCGGACACTGGGTGGCCGCCCTTTTCCGGAATGACAAAGCCGCGCTGGATCCGTACCCATCGAGTAAGTACCTCCATCTTTCCGGGTTGTCGACTCGTACTCACACGTCACCTAGTGTTCTTCGTCGATGTCGAGGACGTCGCGGCTATTCACGTTGCGGCGATTCTGGATCCGGAGATCAAGAACGCCCGTCTGCAAACTTGGGGCCACAGCAGCAACTGGAACGAATTCTTTGCCGTGTTGCGCGAGATTCGCCCTCACCGGGAGTTCCCTGCCGACTATCCTGATCCTTACTTCTCCCGGCCCTCACCGCCCAGTCTGAATCCATTGCCATCCTGAAGAAGTGGGCCAACCAGGAGGGGTGGAAGCCGCTGGAGGACAGTCTTAGGGAGACAATTGAGAACCCGTACTTCCGCATCCCTTGAGGGCAACCTGTGGTGTTACGTTCCTCGACTTGCGACATAGAATCAGAGCACATTTTGATTGCTTTAGAGGTAAACATAGGCTACCTTAAACAATATTTTTAGTGGAAACACATCTCCAGAATGGCTTCATCGCGTGACATGTCAAACCGTATGACGAGAAGTGGTGGGTGAGTTCTAGGATGGCGCACGCGAAGTTGCCCTAGCCCACGCTTTGGCGCTGTTAGGGGCGCCTTGGGCAGCCCTTTCTCCCTGTAGAGCGCCTTTACTTGAGCATAGGGCCCTGAGGTCACTTTTCAAGTCCTTTTAGGCACCAGAGTGAACCGCCACAGGCACTAAACCACATGCTCAGCCACATGCTCCCTCCTTCCACCACAACGCCAGTCATCGTCCTCAACAATCCATTCGACTTCATCAAGAGCATCTTCCTCATCGAAACGACATCATTACGCTGATAGCCGCCATCGTCTTCAAATCGCACCTTTCTTCCATACCTCTTGACTTGACCGACATAAGCACGCCATGACCACCAGGAGCTCGACCCGCTCAAATCGGGCACCCAGGGAAGTCTGAGACAGTCCCTGTTTGGCAACGTTCGACGTCCATCTATCGAGGTCACAGGCAGACTTCAATCGACGTCGCGCCTCACTCACACACAAGGTGCCCCATCTCTCATCAACAGGCACAGAAGGCAATGACACCTGTCACATCAACCTCTGACATTCTTTACCGATCCATCGCAAGCCACTGCCAGCGATGACGGACCTTCCGCCACTGTCCGGCCGGGCCCTCCTCTGGCGAATGGCCCGTGCCATCATCGTCTTCATCATCATCTTCTTCATCCTCGTCATCCTCGTTATCAACACCTCGCCCGGCCACGCAGCGTTGCGGGAGCCATCTGCTTCGAAAGCCAATCTGCAGCTGGACAAAGACGGCGACTTTCGCATCGCCATCTTCTCCGACCTGCATTATGGGGCACAGGAGGACGGTTGGGGCATCGAGCAGGACCAAAACACGACGCGCGTCATGAGCTCGGTCCTGCGCGACGAGAAGGTTGACTTTGTTGTCCTGAACGGCGATCTCATTACCGGCGAAAACACGCTGCGCGAGAACGCGTCCGACTATGTCGAGCAGATCATCCGGCCGATGCTTCAGAGCAACAAGCCCTGGGCCTCCGTCTATGGCAACCATGACTCCCAGTTCAACCTCTCCAGGGAGGCCATCTACAAGGCGGAAAGGGTATACAGCCTCTGCTACACAGACTCTGTCGATCATTTACCCGGCAGTTCGAACTACTATGTTCTCATCCATCCTCACCAGGAAGAAGGTGCCGAGCCGGAGGGCCTGGATCCCGCTGCCATTCTCTGGTTCTTTGACAGTCGCGGCGGCAAGGCCTTCGACCACGACCCTTCATCTGACACCGCAGATCTGCCGGACTGGGTAGCGCCAGAGACGTCAAAGTGGTTCATCGAGGCGCACAATGAGCTTCGAGAAAAGTATGACAATCGCGTCATCCCCAGCATTGCTTTCGTCCACATACCGCCTCACATTTTCTCCCAGGCGCAGGAGGCGGGAGTACATGTCGACTTGTTCCCTGGGTTGAATGATGACATGCCGCTGGCGTTCCAAGGCAACGAAGGCGAGGATGCAGCGTTTGTGAACGCGCTGCTTCAGACAGAAGGCCTTCACAGCGTTCATGTGGGACACGATCACGGAGATTCGTGGTGTTCAACGTGGCCGGGGAAAGACGCGACGTCCAAGGCGCCATTCCTCTGCTTCGCGAAACACACTGGCTACGGGGGCTACGGCACATGGAATCGCGGCGCGCGGATACTTCACCTTACCATTTCCAAAGCCGAGGGCGAAAACCAGGGCGGCAAACTGTTCGTCGACACTTGGGTGCGCATGGAGAACGGCAATGTCGTGACGCAAGTTTCACTCAATGAGACGTACGGCGTTGACAGGTATCCCACAGGAACGGGAGAACCATGAGGTGCTGCGCTAGCTGAAGCCTGCGCGCCATTGACGCAACGTTCACGCATCGGGTCTAGCCATGATTTGGTTCAGTGGCAGTCGCCTCGCGGAAAGACCACGTGAGGGCAACCAGTGTGCCTTGCCAAGCGACCTAAGCTATCGTGTCGCAAGCGCACCTGGTTAGGGGATCTTGGTCCTGACCATAGATTGGTTCGCCCTGCGAGGCTGGGTGTCGATCAACGCCATGCGATGGTTGCGCACGCATTCCGCGACCTCGCTTACTCTGGGGGAGTCCTCTTCTCAGCAGATCAAAGACGTCCTGACCGCAGCAGGGGGGGGGGGGAACAATTTAGAAGTGAAGAGTCAATGTGTCGGCCCTGACATGGATTCCCGATTGAATTCTCTCGTCTCCATCGCATGTGACAAATTCCGGCTTCGAGGGGATCCCTACCACTTCATCATGAAGCAAACGATCGGCCACGCGCAAAGCACAGAAGACATCAAGAAAGTCCAAACAACCGAAAATCATCAGCATGCCCAACAACGACACTACCCATGGCAGCCAGTCTTGATACTTGTTGGGTACAGCGTACTGCTCGTTACACCATGGGCGCTTATTTGTGTGGTCGCAACTCGGACACCAACGGACAGCACGTCAACCGTGCGTCAAAAAGACATCAACGTTTACGAAGCATGGCTTAAGGCTGTCCCAGTCATCGACACAGTCGCTGCAGTCGTTACGATTCCATTCGTGTCTGCTCTCTTGGCCTACGGTGCCGCAGCTCATGTTGAGCGAATGAATGGGAAGCAGAAACTCACGATGCGTCAGTTGCTCGGTCTTGCGGACAGAAACTGGGTCACAATGGACCCAACTCATCTCCATCGTGCGCCTGGAGATCGATCAGCCTTCTTGTACATAGCGACTTTGTTTATTCTGATCAGTTCGTCTGCATTTCCGGATCATAGGATATGCCGTCCTAGTGCTGACTGCTGCTAGGTGCCATACAGCTCCCGCTTCGAACCTATCTCGCTCCAATCGGTTCTAGACCAGCATATGTGTGTGACAACAACCATGAGGGCTCAAGGTGGACTCCCTCATGCGAGAGCTTTACCAGCATCTTCGCTAGAGACACGTCAAGCACTGGCGCGCGATCTCTCGCCTTTGATATCGATCCGGGCACTATTCCGGAGATACCCCGACAGCCACTACTCAACGTGATGGATGAGCGTCTCCGGAGCGTGACGTCCCGCAGTATAGAGCCCCAGCTATGGAGGGGTAACGGGACAAACCAAACGATGGTTGCCGGCGAAGTTTTCGATTCCGCCCCAGTCTTTTCAGACGCTTTCTGGGTTTCGTCTGTGCCGTCTGGTAGCACAACTGGAGGACTCAGGATGCGCTCGCTGAGGCTGAACTCCTCATCGGAATGTGCGAGCATCGCCGCCGATGAGTTTCCTTCCAACTGTCCTGGCCAGTTCCCTTTCCTCACCGACTACACCGGGAATGGCATCTCCATTCGAGTCTGTGTACCGGACGGCAAGGATGGGAAGCCGTGGGGGGCTATGCGCGACCGTCAAGATATTGAGGAAGAGATGTATCTCGACGCTAGACTTGCTTCCGATGCAGGGGACGCGACGCTCAATGACGATTTTCAAAACTTCACTATCCTATGTGTTGGCCGCTCCACGATGGGGTATTTTGAGTTGGGAAATCTCCACAATCAGGAACAGCCATCTGAGTTGCTGGCGCAGTGGCTAGACCCCGACGAGACGGACGACTTTGACGATTACTTTGCAGAATCGCCTCTTACCAGCGAGTACGTAAAGAATGGCTCTTTTCACGATGGCTACTAACTTTGACAGTTCAAACTATGACCGCCCGGGCACAGCATCTTCGCCATCCGGTCCGCTGCAAATGGCAGCAGAAGTCTTGTTCGGTCCGCAGTCGTACCAGCACACGCTCTTTCAGCTCTTGCGCTCAACGGAGACGAGTATTTCGGGCAGCCTGTGCAGCGCCCTCAAGCCGCCAATGGCGGGCATCGACTACCCTGGTCCACCCGCCTGGGTTGAGTCTATGGCTAAAACCTGCAACGCGACGTCGGTTTCGAAGGAGAGCCTGACCACAGAAGCCTACAGTTTCGTTCGTGGCTTTCTCTCACAAGAGTCAGGAAGTCTGGCGCTCGGGGTTGCCATGTATTTAGCCAACGAAGCCCTGTTGACCTCTGTAGACACGGACAGAGCGTACGGCTTGCGGCGGATTGTCGACAAACCGCCGGTCAACTTCAGGGGAGTCGATGTCAGCCATGCATCCATGATTGCCGTCAGCGTTCTTCTAGGCGTTCAGGTGCTGCTCCTGATTCTTCTGACTCTGTATACGTATACGCTGGGAAAAGGGGCCGGCAAACTGGATGCCTCGTCAATACTGAGGATGGGCGCTGCCGTGGAAGGGTGAGGCGCTGCGCCTGGTCTCGAAAGGGCTCTCACGACAGACTTGAGGGGTTGCAGAAGATTCCTGGGTCAGGAAGGTGGATGCCTAGATACCACAGCAGAGGTCGGCCTGTCGAGATGCCGGCCAAGCCATGGGGTGAAAGTAAGACAGACGTTGTCCGAATAAGCTCTCAAGGTGAAGCAGCCTGACACCCAGCCGGAGAGGTGTCCAGGGTAGAGGTATGGTCTTGGACAAGGCACGATTTTTCGCACATCTGAGTTCAAGTTGAAGACCCTTGATAGCTCTCATGAACCCTATTCTGTGAAGTCATCTCCGATGTGCATCACAATTCATATATCAGTCGGCACTTCTTTCTCTCCTCGTCCCACGCTCTTGGCTATCCATCCCACCTCTCCTGCTACATGCACCACTGCCAAGGTCTCACAACGCATCACACTTGTTCGATTTCATCATGTCCATGCACTGGCTACCGACAACCATGACGCTAAACCGGGTACCATCAGCCGTTCCCGCAAGCTCTACTCCCGTCGAAAGGGGCCTCTTTTCGACGCCCTCCCGCCACGACCTCCCCACGGCCAACCCCCCTTCAAGCACCCACCAAGAGGGATCCCCAAGGACAAGCATCTCCAATCCGCAAGGCCACCGAACCATCACCCTCCGTCTCCCACCCTCCCTCCCAGACTTCATCACAACTCCAGCCCCAGGCGCCCGCGCCCCCAACCCCGCCACCAGCAGCGCCGCCGCACCCCCCTTCCCGATCACTACAAAGACACAACTCCCCGAGGGAAGCCCGTTCCGCCCCCCCCGGGCCGCAGCAGCTACTTTCCTCCCCAAACCGGCCCCGGGCATCTCCGCGGGGCCCTGGGACCTCCGCGACGCCGCGCACCGCCGCGTCCTTCGCGCGCCTGCGCCTCCTCCCCGACGACCCCTCGCACGCGGACCCCGCGCGGGGGATCACGCCCGCGCCGCCGCCGGGCTCGCTGTTTCGGCGCGGCGCGCTGGCGGGGTATAGGCCTTGGTGGGAGGGCGGGCGGACCGGCGGGGGGGACGTCTTCTCTGGGGCTGTGACGGCGGGTGCGGAGCGGGAGGAGAGCGTGGAGGTCGAGGCTGACGATGACGATGGCGAGAGTGAGGCCGAGGCCGAGGACGAGGACGAGGGTCAGCGGTGGGAAACGATATCGGCTGGAGAGGCGGAGAATGCGGAGGAGGAGCATCTTCGGTGGGAGACGCTGCGGGAGCGCGAGAGGGGGTTTGTCTCGTGGAGTCGGCGCTGTCTCTAGCGGTGCTGAGGCAGCTGAGGCCACATACACATGCACTTTTCTCATGATGAGTACACTCACTTCTCTCATGATGAGTACACTCACTTCTCTCATGATGAGTTGGACGAACAGAGCAGGAACATGGTCAATGATGCAGGTCAGAGTTGAGTTCGAGTCGTGCTCAGATAGCTAGCATTAGCGAACTTGGCCAGCTAAAGGGGCACAAAAAACATGTTCATTACAAACTGCTTCCAATGGCGACAGACGCTTTCAATGGCGACAGGCGCTTTCAATGGCGACAGACGCTTTCAATGGCGACAGACGCTTCCAATGCCGATCTACGCAATTCTCAATCAAACGCTGCCGTCCGCCTTCGCTCCCTCCCTGAGTCCCTGCAAAACCCAGACGGCCCCTCTTGTCCGTAGACAGAGTCGTGTTGGTGCTTTTCCCCCCCATCCGTTGTCCAAAAAGAAAACACCATATCGCCAATGCCCTTACATGCAAAGTCGCCAGCCCATCTGCTTTGTACGCAAGCCGGGATGCAGATTGTCCCCCCCCCCCCCCTCTCTACCTCTTATAGTACACATCATCCCCCATCAGGCTTCTCACTTCTTCCGCCTCGTCTTGGGAGCTGATGGCAGCTCCGGCGTGGGATCGACAGCCTGCCTCTTCTTGGCCTGCTTCTTGTTCCGCGGCGGCGGCGGCGGCTCCGAGTGCAAGTGTCCCAGCTCCTCCATGGCGACCGTGTTCTCCCACGCAAGGCACCTGTAATTGGTGGGTTCAGCGGTCTGTTGCTGCCTCGTGCGTGTGGCGACGCCGCGCTTCGGCTCCTTGGATTCTTCCTCCTCCTTCTCCGCGGGCGCAAGGTACTCTTTGCGGTTCTCCATGTGTTTGGCGATTTTGTCCTTGAAGCTGAGAATCTCCTTGCGCAGCTTCAGCTCGTTGTAGCCGCGCGGGTCCAGCCATCGGATGAGGTTGTCAACAGACTCAGGGTCATCGTAGTAGCCCCATTGTCCGGCATTGAACACGCTCGTCGCGCCCTCCTCCATCTTCTTGCGCTCGGGCACCGTCATGTTGTGCTTGGCCTTGTACTCGTCCTGATGCTCCTTGCTGAGGTCAATGTAGCCCTCGCGCTCG